GGGACTGCCGACCTAAACTTGACCCCTCTGGCAAGTGAGTGGTGAATGTTCGATCAAAAAAGAACATCTGATTTTGATTGATTTTGTATGGTAAGTGATTGTATAAATTCATGAAGTTCTGACCACGGCCAGCGCCAAGGAAAAAACTGCGCAACGGTGTTGAGAAACACCCTTAGGTCATTCAGACCAAAAGCGTGTCATTCCCAAAGTGGGATGGAACTTGAGGCCAGGGCTTGGTGATGAAAGCTAGCATGGATTCTTATAAAATATCATTTTATATAGCATCCTTCAGCAAGCTGCTGCTACAAAAAAGAGGGTCCCGTCCTGTCCAACCAAAGTATTGAAGAGTGAGACGATGTTGCATGTGAAGATGAAGCTAGAACAGAAAATGAAGCATACGAAGCTAGAAAATGAAGGTGAAGCTAGAAAAAGAACAGGGGGGAGTACATGTCATAAGAAAGAAGTGAAGCACAATGGTCCCCACACAAATGCTGTCGAGGTGCGTATGTGCAAGTTGATGTGAAGCATAATGGTCCCAAAATGGATGCATCAGAGGTGCGACGAGGGGACGTCCCAAGTGGGGAGTTGAACCCGCCCGCCAGGCGGGGCCCTGCACATGAATCATTCACACGGTAGGGCATTCCATCCCACAGCATTAAACTTGCTAAAGCAAGAGTAACTCCAGCTAGCTGACGCTATTTTTCGTGACAAAGACGTGCTAATTGCATAGTCTTTTGAACCATGTGGCCTCAAAACTGAGCGAATGCGAGAGTCAAACGTCAGGGAAAATGGCTTAACCGACGGCGGGAACCGACTGCCCCCCAAAGGTCGCAGTAGTAAGGCACTTGTTACTACTAGTAAGGCACTTGTTACTACTAGCGTGGCACTTGTTACTAGTAGCTTCCTACCCCCAAAGGTCGCACGTCAGCTCTATCCCACCCGCACAGGCCTGGACTGTGCAACGGTGCCTGCAAGGCACCAGCATCCACGACGGGTGTCGGAGAGCAGTCCACCTGGAGGTGTAAAGTAAGGGTGTGTGTGTGTAAGTAAGTAAGTATGTATGTAAGTAAGTATATGTATGTATGTATGTATGGGTATGGAGTGGGGTCCAAGTGTTCCTACTAGTAGGTCAGTGGAAAGCAAAATGGCATGTGGAGAACATCTGGATTGGGCAACTATGCTTACAAATGGTGCGCAATGATGTGGATGTGTGTTTCATCAACGGTGAACGTGGTGACTCAATATGAACCATCTGCACCGTTGCCTTTGTTGGAAGCGAGTTCGTTGCAGAAGTCAAATGGGATTCTTCGTGTGGACCTTCACCATGTGTGAATGAGCAGGGTGTCAGATATTTGGTAGAAAGATTGTCATTGTTTTACTGTTATGTAAGTGCATCCCTGCCTTTTGCCCTACCAAAATCGACAGCACCATGCTGCATTTCCTCACTTTGCGCTTGATGCGTGCTTAGCCCAGCGTGTAATTTAAATAAGATCCCTTGAGCCCCTAGATGTGCACAGGATTGGTATGTGGGGCATGGTGTCTCCACGCGGTTATAGATGTTTATTATAGCGTCTCCACGTGTGTATATATATATAGATATACATACGTATAGCCATATCTAACCCCTTTGAGATATGGGGAAGCCCTATTGTTCTAATGCCATTGTGGCGGTGGGTCATGGCACTGAGGGAAACAGTATTTCACGCTTCACCAAAGATGAACAGATACAAACAGACCTAAGGAGGTCGTTCGAGCCTAGACAAACCTATATACAAAGGTCA